TACCCTGGCCCTTAATCTGTTCCTCGGGACGTCGAATCTTTTGGCCGCAGTTGCAAGCGACATTTTATTCTCTTTCACCTCTCGTATGGAAGCCGCCATATCTTCCGGCTTCCATTTGACAAATCAACAGACTTGACTTACAATATACAAATCAGGGAGAACTCGACACGCCGATAAGGGAGAACTCGACTGTAGAGATCTCCCCGTAAGCTACTGTCGAAATCTCCCCGAGTTACACATTTCTATAAAAGACGGCAGCACCTTCGTCTGACTGGCTATGAAAACGTTTTGCGTAGACATTCATGTTCCTGAATGCCTGATCTCACTAGCATATTGACAAAGCTTACAGACCCTTTTCTACTACGGTTTGCTCCGACTGGTTAAAACAGTAAACGTGGGGTTAGAGAATCTTGTGTTTGGCGACTTTTACTCCATCGCCTTTGCTATTTCTTTGTAAGCCTGGTGTACCAAAAAGCGTTAGTGCAGAAATAGCGCCTCCTCGAATAAATATAATTTAGTTTTACCTACTCATAATTTAAGTAAAGGAATAGGTACTCGACGCCCTTAAATGTTTATTGAGTGTTTTGACTTAATTTATTTTCCTTTTTGATTTATTTTACTACATCACATTCCCCGCGATGTTCAGAGTCTAGATCTTGCACAACGCTTGTTGATGTGCTTTTTATTTTATCTTCATTGAAAACTTTTTTTTAATGTTCCTTTACTTGCATAAATTAATGCGCCATGGAAATTTACACAACAGATTCTTTCTAACACAAATCGTAAAAAGGTACATATACCATTTCCAAGTAAACACTTTTTTGGTAAATAATCACCGAACTTTTAACAGTTTCAGTGCATTCTTTATCCAAATACAAATAAACTATTAATAAGATCAGTAGGTTATTTAAAATGTATTTCACGTAATTCTCCTTTGCTTTCATTTATAAAATAAAAATTTATCTAACGAAACAAAGCCCGTTTCTCTTCTCTGTACTGAAAGCCCACAAGGTGTGTTTGGCGTTCGTTACAAAGCCTACAAGGCGATAACTCGCAATACGAAAATGACCGCCAAGAAAACGTTTTATCCAATGAGAGCAGACCGTAGAATAAAAGGTCTGTAGGCTTTGTGAATATATATCTCACTAGCCAGTCATTTGGAAATCGCCAAAAATCGAAGCCATCGTCCACGTTTATCATCGTTATCAAAGCCAATCTTATACTTTATGCATTGTAAACTATGAAGCATTTCACATTCATAAAAATCTTTCTGTTCTAGTTAACGATCCTAATTCCAATCCAAATTTGCCTTCGGCTTTTAGAAAATTAGTTTTAGTTTGGTTTCGCCAACAGATGGCGCCACTTGCTTATTTGTCAGGTTATCACAAGCCAATTCTTATACCATTTTATTTGTTTTTGTCAAACATGAAGACATACCGACAGATTTTAGATTAGTTCTTGATCAATCTCTGACTTTACAACACTTTCGATTCACAATGATGCACTACACTGTTACGTTATTCCAATACAGTGGTTTCCATATGCGACACCAGGGTACAGACCACTCTGCTAAGGGACTCCCTTAAAAGTGTCGCGATCTCCCAAGTGTCGAGATGCCCCTGAACGACCTTATGAGTATTGGAAACTCTTTAAAATGCCAGTAATCAGTGACGTAAGTTCATTTTCAATCAAGCTTTTAAGGAAGAAAGATGGAGTTTTTACTGGTCAAATTATTTTATCAGAACTGCAGTGAAAATTTAGATGTTGTGCAAGAATTATGCAACTTGAATTGCTTGTCAAAAAGAGACTATAATGAAGAATGGCTTGAAATGGATGATTACCAAGTTTGAAGAGAATGGTCGGTGTCTTGCCAGGATGTCCTATTCCAGATATTCGTCGACAAGTGCTTGATCAGTGTCACAGAATTTGTTTATCCTTTGGTGTACAGTGCGAAATATCCAGCTGAACCCTCAAGATCCGCTTCAAAGCAGTGATTTTGCTTACGGGTGTTTGGCGAAAATACTCCCTTGGGGATACATGGCTCACAGCGAGGAGCAGTTTACCTTAAACCGCACAGGGTGTAATTCAGAACTATCTCATATTAGATGCAGCAAATCCCAGCGTTGTGAATAAACAAGCTTTGCATTCATGACTCTCTGATGTGGTTTTTACTACAGACTTCATTCATGGTTTATTTTTCTTTGAGGAGAATACTTCTCATGGTTCTTAAGGTATACCCTTACTGAAAATGTTTTCGGCAGCAAGTCATTCCTGTATTAATTTAGAAGTCAAACAACTATAATCAGTATCAAATTTTCAAATTTTCATAGGACTAGTTTCGATAGTTTTACCGAACCATCATCCTTCACTGCAAAAGGGCAAATGAACGAGATAAGATATAGCGATTAGATAAGTTCACTTTCAGTTCAGCTATTCATGTTCACTTTTTAACTTGAGACTTGGAATTCTTTTCCGTTTCTAGACATTCTGGTTACAAGTAACACATCTAACTTCAGTACTACGCTTTACCGTAAACCTTCATCGATTTGCCTTCACTTCAAATCATGTCATCCGACTAAACAAAAGTTAGCTTCATTTTATTCCTATGCTTTCCGTGCTTTTTAAGTTTGCTTCTCCAAATTATCTCTTGATGAAGAATGAAATTATTTAAAAGCAGTAGCTATTGACAGGGGATTATCACCCAACATTATTGATTAAGCAGTTAAAAATTTCTCATCTAAACAAAACTCAAAAAACACCTAACACCAAAAGGCACACTCTTGTTTTAGGAGATTATAAAAATTCTGTTGTCATTCCCTTCTTTCCATCAATTAGCTATAAAGTTGCACATATTTTGCAGAAATTTAACTTTCGGGTTGTTTATTCTCCCATCAATAAAATTCCAAGTTCCTATACTCAAGGACCCCATTCCGGATATGAATTCCTGGGGTATTTATAGGATTCCTTGCCAGTGTGGTTTAATTTACATTGGCCAAAACTAAGAGAGCCTTAAAATTTCGCGTCAAAGAACATGAGGCATATGTTAGAAAAAAGGAAACACAGAAGTCTTCTGTTGCTCAACATTGTTGGTCCGAAAATCACACTTTCAATTTTTCTGCTGCCAAAATTATTCAAAAAACATCTTCCATTGGAGAACTGGATTTTCTAGAGGCATTTCACATTCAAAAAAATCTTTCTGTTCTAGTTAACGATCCTAATTCCAATCCAAATTTGCCTTCGGCTTTAGAGAAATTATGTTTTAGTTCTGGTTTCGCCAACAGATGGCGCACGTGCTTATTCTTGTCCAGGCTTTCTTATCTTACTAACATTATTTCCTATCTTGTTCATTGCGCTTTTGCAGCTGAGGATGATGGTTCGGTAAACCATCGAAACTAGTCTTGTGAAAATTTGCAAATATAACGCTGATTTTTGCTGTTTGACTTCTAAATTAATACTGGTTCGGTCTGTTATTGTACCTTAAGTCCTTCGTGTTTTACAAGAATAGAATGTTAAGAGACTTCTCTCTTCATGGAAGATTGTGAAACAACTCATTAGCTAACAAGTGAAGGAACTCTTTTGTGCTCACTTGGAAAATTAACAGGTTATTTCGAGAAGTTTCCCAAAGGCTTCGCCTCCTATTTCTCCAACTTGAAGCCATGTGCTTTCGGGATTGACTCTAACAACGTTATTGACGTCCAGGTATTCCAGTAATCTTCATAATCTCAAGATTTAAACTTTACTTCTGAGAACCATCTCAGATCACATTTAAATATACAGTAACATTAAACAGTGGCAAGTATATTAATATATAGTATTCATATCACTAAATACTTTAGTGACATTAAATGAACAAGGCTGCAATTTTGCAACATAAAATTTATAACGTCTTGTATTCCTTGGAAGCATAAAATGTTTGAAACGTCTTAGAGACTAGAAGTGAATTATCACTATATCAAGTACCACAGAAACAGGGAAAAGCTATAGATAACCCTTTTATTTCACTCAAAGTTAACATAAGACATCATTCATGCTTACAAAATACAGCCAGCAATTACAGCTTGAATCAGAGATTAAGAATTGGGCTTGACTAAATAATAACTACACAATTAAAGCCAACGGCTACACAATTGTTGGCTTGACAATTACACAATTAAAGCCAACGGCTACACAACTGTTGGCTTGACAACTACACAATTAAAGCCAACGGCTACACAACTGTGAAGTTGGCTGTGAACTAAAAATCGATGTGACAAGCCTAATGTCAAAAGCAACGCAACGCCGCAGAATGCTGCTCTCAGGACATGCAGAACACGCTCTGAGTCTATCCTCTCAACCTTTCTCTAAATATTATCTCTTTTCTACCTCATTTGGTTGTTAAACGAGCTAGCATTTACATTCTGTCTGAAAAATGAGAAACTTGGAGTATAGGAAAGGGAATTTACATATAATAACTGGTTAATGTACTAAACGATACCTTACATATTTATCAGATCTAAAATTCATCTGCTTATTAAGCAAATATACAAATTACATACATACAACATAAACCTACTAAATTATTATTGTTATTATTATATACTTGCAAAGACTTGGACGGCTAGTTGTTTATTTGGGCGGATGAAAAAGACGATACACATTGTTATCTAAGTTTGCTCTAATTTTTCATCACTTCGGTTTGCACTTAAGTTGAAAATTTCAAATATTAGGTTTTCCTTTAGCTTCTTCCTCCACTTTTTGTTAATCTGAGAGCTTTTATCATAGCCTGCATTTTTAACATATGTACTCATTTCATCCATTAAATTAATCTCTTCCATGCTCATTTCTGTTACATTATTTAATTTCTTTCATGTAGCCCTGAATCCCTTAGTTTATGGTATAATGAAAGATCACTGATTTAGATTATGCCATTTAAATGAAGATGATTTAAAATGATAATTAATTTTCAATTCACAATCACATTTCTTACCTGTTGATTATTAAATTAAAAACATTTCTTGTAGTGCCTCCAACGTCGATTAAAATCGTTGATGTTTCTGATATTAGTGATGCTAATGAAAAGCAGATAAAGATGTCAGAGAGCTTGTCGATAGTTTGTGAAGTGTCTGGTGGTAAACCTGCTCCCAAAGTTTTGTGGTACAGAAATACTCTCAAGTTATCAGAAGGTAAGTGCTCATTTTATTGTGAATGTCTGAAATTTCGTTTAATTAACGGCTTCAAGTAAAAAGTTTAATACATATGATATTAGTATAGAAAGCGAAGAATCTTCACTCAGCACTGAAGATGATAGCTATTGAAGATGATAGCTATTGAAGATTCATCCAGCGTCTCAAAAACAAAACTCCCATCATCCTTTCCCTCTACAATGGGAGTAACTTCGCTTTTACAGACCAAAGTCGTGAGAAAACCTTCGCCGTTCATCTAGAACGCCAGTTTAAAAATAACCTGACTCCCAACAATCCGATTAATGATATTCTTATTCGCTATCTTAAACATTGTTGGTTCAATGTCTCTTCTGCTCGCAGACTTTTGCCATTCTATTGAAATTACAAACATAATTAAAAAGCTTAACTCCAAAAGGTCCCTTGATCTTGACAAAAACTAATAACCTGACTCTCAGAAATCTTCCTGCAAAAATTATGAGCATCCTCAACGGATGTCCCTACATTAGCTACGTCCACAACACCTGGAAGCACGCAGTAATCTGCATGATTCCGAAGCTGGGAAAGGATAGCACCATACATGACGTTACAGAACTATCAATCTTCTCCCTTCGTTGATCAAGATTCTGGAAAATGTCATACTCAAGAGAATGTCCTCCAAACTGAATTCTTTTCTTAAAGAACAATACGGATTCTATGCAAAATTCTCCACTATTATGCAACTCTTGCGTATTATTAATTTCTCCTCATCTGCATTTCACAACAAACTACATATCGCAATCCTCACGCTGAACGTCGCGAATGCTTTCAACCGAGTCCGGAATGAAGGCTTGCTCCATAAACTTATCATCAATAAATTCGCCAGACAGATTATTCTCATCCTTAACTATTTTCTCACTATAAGACTTTCGCAGACAGGCAAAAACAGACCGTCTCTACCATCCGGAACATAAAGTCTGAGCCTAGGGATCTGCCCTTGGCCCACTCTAGCCTATTAACGCACGAGAGTTTTCATAACCTGACCCAAGAAAGCCTTCTCGCATGTTTTACGTACGACCGGAAATGGCGGTTAAATTCCTAAATGTTAATCATGAGATTAAACAACTTCAAACTTATTCCAGCAGAATAGAAGAAGAATGATTTGCGAGTTAGAAACTGATTGGACTAGAATTGGAAAGTCTGTATTAATCCTGGCAGGTGGCAGCTTCTCATCATCAAGCCGCGAGAACATCTTTTTTCAAATATGTTCAAGTTAACAAAGCGAAGTACCTTGGTATCATTTTATACAACAAACTTACATAGAACACCCATTCAAGCAAAATTATCAGCAATGCCTATGGAGTTTTAAATTCCCTCAAGCTTTCACTCAAAAGAAATTCTACCTTTTCTCTCAAGAAACAATTCATATCTGTAAAGCTATATCAGGCTGAATCTGCACTTATGTTTCTCCTGTTAAATTTATTATTCACTGTAGTTTTTCTCCATTATTCATTTTTTGCACTTTCATGCCCTTCTCATTCTGTTCGCTATTACACTTACATTTTCATTGCTTCCTTCTTCTTCGATCTGCAGCATTTTTTACATGATATTTTGTATTTACTTCTTATTCGTTTTAACAATTTCATGAACCTGCACTGTCCTGTCCCAATGTCTTGGCTTACTTGTCACAGACCTCGCAAAACCTCTACCCTAACCGGGTTATACGGGAGAATTCCACATTTACATATCAACGTATATTATAATCAGCAAAGTGTAATATTAAAACTTGGATAGTGAATTTCTATCAGCTGTTTGTTTAATCATTTTTACTCATACTTAATCTCTTCAAAGCATTTAAATTTGCATAGAGCGCATATAGAATAATGTTCCAAGTCTCTGTCTTAAGACCTGATCAACCATCAAAACGTGAATCAAAGTTATAAAGCTCTTTAATTTAAGTTCTTCATCCCTTATGCAAGATAAAATTCTTGAAGAAACTATTTGCAATCAAAAGGAAAAATCAACATACGAAACGAATTCTGAACAGCTGATAGAAAAGTTTGCTAAGTTTGAAGAAGCTCTCAAGCTTTGCTTACGGATTCTTATGATCAAAATGTGAAAAATCCATTAATGTGTAATCCATTAATGCTGCAAAAAATTGAAAATTGGTCTCAAATCATAAAGAAAGAAGGATTTTGTCATAAGAATTTTAACATGTATATAATAGCTGTCCATTAATAAAGGAATTCTTTTTTTTTATTTAAAATCCTTTTCTTAAAATAGTGCAACGGGTATTTATGAGTTTAATGTATTCCTGCGTTTATAAAGAATTTCCAATGAATTAGTGAAATTGCAGTGGCTTCTTTGAGAAAAAAATTTTTTTTTCTGTGATTAACAGCAATAGCATTTTTGACGTTATTGTTATTGGTGTAAAAATCTTAAATTCGATTAATCTAGATCATTTTCTCTTTTTCTACCAAAATGTCATCTATTGTATATATTGTTAGTTTTGCAGAAGGAGACTGGAACTCAGTATTTCATTTGAACATTATGAAAAATATAATTTAGTTTAGTAATATGAAACGGAAGCGAAAAAGCAGAAGTATAAAATTTTAAGTCCTTTCAATCATAGCAACTTATCTTATCGGACTGCGCTATTCAAATTTTCAAGTACAAACTCACTACTCAGAAACCCTAAAAGACTGCCGAATGATTTTCCATTCCCTGACCTGACGGCTAATAAAACTGAAATAGAGTTCCACCTATTTGCGGATGATATATATTCAGCTTTCAATTCGACAAATTCAATTAATTACTCACGAAATTTACACATTAATATCCACAAATTCAATTAATTACTCACAAAAAATCACAGCAAGAAAATCTTCACCACCAAGCTAATTGCAACACCCAGCCTAAGCTGCGACTCGTTCTGATAAACTCTGAAACCTGATGATTACTTATATTTAAACTAATATGCATTTTGGTATAAGGTGCCTAAAGTATTGTTGCGTGTGTACCTGTTCGTAATAAATTTAATACACACAAGTCCGATGATAAAATTTATTTTATCAAAAGAAACACGTCGGAGTTCCAGAACTTTCGACAGAAATACTCGGGCATCTGTTCCCACTATAACAAAGCAAAATCACTAGTTACTAAGAATTACTAAGAACGTTAAACACAACGCAATGCAAAGTGCATCTAAAACACGAAGCTTTCATGGATATCTCAATACCCCGAAGGGGCTCTGAACTAAAAACTCAAAACAACAAACAAGGTACTGTTACTCTCTTCGGTCTTATATAGTTTTTACCCAGCCGCTGAGATATTTCTAGTACTTTCTGCTTCTCGAAATTACTAAAAGGCATATGAGAGCCAAACATTGTTATAATTACACAGAGCATTAATTGTAGTTTTTTAATTACAATATCTATTACTGTGATACAAGGACCGGACCCAAATATCGCCAAGTTTGGCGACTTTTGGAGATTTGTTGCCAAATTTTGCGACAAAAATTAGTTGTCAAAACCGTTCTCAGTTTAGGGATATCTCACCAAATTAACGAGATAGCCATTTAACCAACGTTAAATTGACTTGCCCCTGTATTCGTATTTTTTCGGCAGAGCAACTTTTCTCTCAGCTTTTCATGTTACATTATACGCAAAATACGATGATTTCACATAAATTTCACTAAAATTATATATCTATTAACAAAATTTGTAACAGTTTAGTGAAACAAAAATGTTAAGATAATTAATCAAAACAAAATCTTACGGTCATAAATCAATAGATTTGCTTCATAATTATTTTTTTTTCAATTATTAAATATTAGAAGGGAGCAAATACAATTATTCGAAATCAGTTTCTCTGATTTAAGTATGAAAATTTATTATAAATATATATATGATAGGCGTTTTATAAATTTGACTACCAATAGCTAAAACGTGTCTGTGTGAAACGTAGAAAAGAATTAAAGTTAAAAAAAATCTGAATTCTGTCTCCTTCGACTTAAGATGAATGATATTCCACGCATCTCTTCTTGGATTCAGAAAAATATAAATTCTAAATGCAAGACTTTGGATCAGGTGAGTAGTTAGTTGTACATGGCTTTGATAACTTGGAAAGAAAATATATTGTTTCGGGCTTTGTATTTAGTTGGCTATTTTTAGTAGAATTGTACTTAAAATTGTTTTATTTTCCCCATGCAATGCAGCGCGTGACGAATTTTAAGAGAAAGCTACGCCGGAAAAGTAAAAATACAAGAGTGCGTGCATTGAACATTTAATAAATGTTTATCTCCGTAATTGATATTTAATTTGAATAAACGCAATTGTATGTTCGCTATAACTGTAATTCTACTCTTTTGCTTTCTAGAAACCTCGAGAAAATAGAAATTACCAGAATGTTCTCGCGCACGACTAAAAAGCTTTAAAATGCCGGAAAAAACATCTGAGTTCAGTTGCTTACTACGAGGCGTATTCGGAAACTAAGTAACGTTTTGAAAAAAAAAAAAAAAGTAAGATAATTTTTTTTTTCGAATCCAATTTTATTTTTACATGAAAATACATGTCTTAAACTATTTTTCAACATAGTTTCCGCCAATGATCAAACACTTTTCATAACGAGTGACCAGTTTTTGTATACCATCGTCAAAGAAACTTCCCGCCAGTTTCGATAACCACGACTCCACAGCATTTTTCGTGTCATCGTCAGATCCAAAGCACTTGCCACCAAGCTCGCGCTTCATGTGCAGGAACAAGTGATAGTCGGACGGCGCCATGTTCGGGCTGTACGGCGGGTGATCGAACTGCTCCCAATGAAACTGTCAAATTAACGATTGAGTGACACCAGCAGTATGGGGCGGAGCATTGTCATGGAGCAACAAAATTCCTTGCAATTCAGCAACACACACTGAGCATTTGTTCGTGAACATTTGTTCGACCTGCATGAAACATTCTTACCCACTCTCTCACCATTCCATCACTTATCGCCTATTCACTGTAAACTTCTGTCACTTGACGATAAATTTCGGCCGGTTTAACATTCCTCGCGTTCAAAAATTTAATCACGGCACGAATCTCACAGTTGGCGGGAAAACTAATTGTCTTAAACATTTTGAATGTGCACAGCAAACTGAAAACACAACATAGAGCAATTAAAATGGCGACAATTGAAAGTTAGTGAATAAGAAAGACTAGTGCGCATGTGCGCGACGCCTACCACAGCGCTGCGACGGCGCTAGAATGAAACGGTACTTAGTTTCCGAATACGCTACATAAGTTCTATTTTTTACTTAGCTGCTGTAATTTTGAAATCGGATTAGTCTTCTCTGTGCTTTGAATTGTGTTCTACTTAACGTTTTAGTAGTTTAAAATATAACTACTGTTGTGATATTGTGATATTATAAGAGAAAAATTTCAGCATTTTGTTTTACCTCTTTGTGATAAGAATAAATTTTATTAACTTTTCATCAGACTTGTGTATTCAATCTATTACGAACCCGTACGCACGCAACACTATATATGTCATCTGTTACCCATAGAGGTAGAAGTAAGTATATGTTTTACCCACACGCAGTTAATATTTATTTTTCTTCAAATTTAAGCAATTACTGAATATTTTCCAGATTCTATAGAGACGCAAATATCTGATGGAGAAGATGGTCGACAATCAGTGAAGTCAACACTGAGATTGAATCCATCACCAGATGACAACAAGTCTTATTATTCTTGCGAGACTTTAACTTCGTTCCCTTCTCCAAGATTAAAAGCTGGAATTTATTTAGATGTTTTGTGTGAGTGCATTTTATCTTTTTAAATTAATAAAAATTCTTTAGTAGGCATCAGAATAAATTAGATTTTGAAAAAAGTGTGCAATTCAGAATTTTCGAGTGTTAGTTTATTATTGTCAATTATTCTTTTGAAATAAATTTATAACAATAGTTATATTTTTTTGGATAATCAGTTTCATGAGGAAGGTAGATTAGTGTAATTTTTTATATTTCTGCTGTTGATTGTTTAAATTTTATGTGGGAAAATACTAGGTGCATGCAAAAGCTCCACCCGCTTTTTAATGGAAAAAGAAGTATGATGAATAATATAAAATGTTTGACATTTTATGTTACTGTCATCATTTTACAGCTTGTATCCCCTCTTGGCCATCTATCTAGTAATAGGTTTATTCCACACTAATAAAACTCTTCTGCTTTTGAGTCAGAAAAATCTTGCAGACCTGTTTTTCCGTAATCCTCATCATGAATGAATTGGAGAAAGAAGGTGTTCTGTTATGATCATATGAAATAATAATGTGTAGAAGCAAGACTCGTATGTTGAATGAGTTGAAGATTAATACATCTCAGCAAACATCCGACAATGTTTGCTGAGTGATTTAAGTAGCCGCAGTCCGACATTTATTATGATAAATGGTAGCATCCTTGCCAATGACAAACACTTGGCGCTTGTCAGTCTGTCAGTTCTCTGCCAGTTTGTCCAACTTTTGGCAGTAGAGGTCTGCATTTGTCATTTGGTTATACCCCGACAGATCACTCCTTTAATGTTATAAAATCGATTTGGAATGGCGTCCTTCTTTTGAGGTTGATGACAACACAAATGTATAATTCGGCATACCCTCCTTCAATGCTTGAGGCGTCATTACAATATATATTTTTATCCACCATTACTACTCGTTCCAAAAATACTTTTTTTTTTGGCTGAAGACGACTGTTTCCGCCCCTTCACCGCCCATCTCTTGAGATCTCGTTGACCAATCAGAAGTCGCCACAATCTCAAGGAACAAACGCGTGACATTGTTTTTCCTACTTTAGTGTTTCTGACGTCCTTCTTATCATCAAATTTAATTTGGATTTTCTGAACATTTTAAGTGCTCATCTGAAGTAATTGGCTATCCTACACAAGTTATCCGAAGTTCCTCTCTCCAGCTTCTGCTCGACAGAATCCATCTAAGAAATACCAGCACAGGAGCAAGGAGCTTTTTTTTTTCTCTTTCTCACCACACATTTCCACTTCCACGTGAGAAAATTCCATTCAGGTTTCTTTGCTGTCAGGCCCTACATGGGACTACATCAGGAACTGGCAAGAGGAGGATATTGCTTTCCTGCTGATGGCCAGTATAGCCACTTAAGTTCCAAAGAAGAAACATAAGTGCGCAGGTATCTATTGCGCAAATCATTGGTCGAGCTTCGTGATGAATCTAAGCACTTACATTCATTTTTCGAATTTTTTTCTGTGTACGAACAGTACCGCCCTTATGCATGTGGCTCAAATTCTTGAATTTTGTCCTGAATTCATCAGAATCTATTGACGGGCTTCTAGGACTTGACTGATGTGAGTATTATCTCCGAATCCAAATTCGTAAACCAATGAAGACGTCTGTTAGTCAGTCAGTCATACCGGTATCGCAGAGATATCGCGCGACGTGTCCTGCTCAGTGTTAGAATTGGCCGTATGGGCACATGACGGTAAAAACAGGAGGCGTCAAGGAGGCATCGGAGGTAGGTGAGAGGAGGTGACCATGCGTCACAAGGGGAGAAATACCAAGGAGATGCTGGTGTCGCGCAATCTGACAAGTGTCTGTTCGTGACATATACATGTATAAAACAATACACAGAAAGTAAAAATAAAATAAAATTATTTACAGGGTACATAAATACACAAAAAAGGTACAAAATAAAATATAAATCCAATTAAAATAAATACTTACATATGTACTATTAGTGTTCGTGCGCTATCATAATTAAGTAATTCCCTACTTAATTATGAAGACATCTGTTATCGTCTCCTGCATCTTCTCCATACACTTGATACTGAAGTAGTACTGGCATTCACTAAATTTACTATTTTACATTTTACATTTACTATTTTACATTAGTAAATGCCACGGCAAATTGTGGTTACAGTATTACTTATATTAAACTTGTACAGTATTCCATGCTTGACGTACTTCTTATCACTTCCTATTTTAGACCTTGTTTTTATTGTGACTTATCTAACTTGTCTGACAGCAACATCAGAACAAGGCCACGAAATCCATCGTGGCAAGGAGTGCAAGATTGCAAAAATAGTTCGGTCCGAGGCCGAGTTCGGTTCCACCACCGGCTCGGCCGCTGGTGGGCGTTTACGGGCAAAGAACATAATATTCAGTAAATATACATAACACACGAAACGTTAAAAAAAGTTCTTTTTGGGCGTAATATAAAATCTGAGTGCTTCTAGATTTAATTTTACCTTTTTTTTCCCCCTTCATTACAATCAGAAAATTTTATGCTCCGAATTTTATAAATTACTAAAATAAATATTCCACTTTAATGTTAATAATTTAATGATGAGATAATCAAATAAATTATTGTTTTGTAATGTTATCATAGTTTTGAAAATCACTGCCTGAAAATGGTCATTAATTTTTTTAAAAAAAAGTTACCAGATCTTGTTTAATTTTATCTGATTTATTTCAAAGCATCACGTACTATCAATCTTATTTTAATTTTACCTTATTTGTACGCCAAATTAAATTCATAAATTTTGTGCCTAGTGTTTTTACCGTTTTACCAAAGTAAAGATGTTTGTACAAGAATTACGGGTACATTTCTGTTTGGCCGGCGCAGGCGATAAAGTCGCTAATAATGGTACAACTGATGCCAAACGAAATATCTTCGTTGGTAACCTCACTTCATTTTCAAAAAAAGTCGAAGCCATTTTTTATCAGATTAATTGGGTTTTATTTTCAATGCTGGCATACAATTACATAGAATTTTTACCAGATGGTTCAATTTTATGCCCTAAGGCCATTCGTGGTAATTAAGTCAATTAGGATGCAATCACACAGCTCACCCGAAGACGAAATATAGAAAAGGCAAAGTCAACGGTCAAATTCGTCAAATTTAATGAGAATGCACTAGCGAAGTAAAGCACTGCGGTTTTACATAATTTCTGAGTAAGCTATTCCTACGAATTGAAATAATTCTTGCATTTAAACTTGTATTTTAATTAAGATTTAACTTGAAATTAATGTAGATAATTACTGAGAGAATTAGAATTTTGTAGCGTTGTTTACGTGAGATGAAATCACTTGGGATCGCGTGATACGAACCGACGAATCAGGATGTTGAACCATGAAAGCATAGTAAATTCTTAAATGAATGTCCTTTTTTAAAATTTATTGGCTTTTTACAGAATTTTAAACGATATTAAAATGTCTATGCCTTCAAAATAAACAATTCTTAGAACTAACATTTTTTATGTGTGTACTTTATGTTGTCGCCAAGAAAGTCTGCTTGGCGAGATTTGCGCCGGCGAAACGAAAAAGTACCGAATTACGCGTGAAAAAAATGCAAAAATTGCTTTAATAAGATATATTAAATCCTATTTTGAGAAAACTGTGGCTATCATAATCTCATCACTATACAGCGTATCACATTTAATAATTAAAAACAGTTATGTGATACAAACACTGTAGGTTTCAGTGGTTAAAGTAAACCAGATCGTCCCTACTCTTTCTTGCCGACATATCGGTGACGCGGGCCCCGCCCACTGGCTTAGTCTGTCTCTTATAAGGTCCATGCTCATCACGGCATGACGTTGAATAATGTGGACTATTTCAAAAGGATAGAAAATAAGATCTGTTACATTATTAAAATAATTAATAGGAGATATTAATTGTTCTTTTGTACAGGTGTGTTTAAAACAATAAAAATTGAAGAAAATAGCAAATTCTGTAGCTATCTACTAACTTCTATCTATTATAAATACTAAATCTATTATAAATAGAAATGATTTTTAAAAAAATTTCGATGTATGCTTTTAGTTAAACAAATATCTCTGATAAATGTAATTGAAAATATCTTATACGTTTATATAAGGCAGGAATTAAAAGTGGGATGAAGTAGCACATGATTACATATGACAAAATTAAGTTAACTTGAAATTTAATCAGGTACAATTTTGTCTACTGCAGATTAATTGTTTTCTTTTTTTAATTTTGCATATAACAAACCAGGATTCGTTTCTGATACATTTCTACCAATTATAAACATACGCGAAGTAAACTTCCTCTTCACCGACAGATGGCAGAAGAGTAACGCCATCTGTCGGTGAAGAGGAAGTTTACGGAGCACACCCATAATCAAGACCTCCACGTAAAACATTTTAGTGTCTTTTCTGTCACCACTTTCGTCATAAGAGAAAGTGCTAATAATTAATAAATACAATCGACGTTCTTTAACTTACTTTTGTATTATATTATTTCTTAAATAATGCCAAAGCTACGCTTTTCTGCATAGCTTTAGCTGGTAATTACAATTAGAGGGTAACAGTGGTAAACATTATTACGAGCTCAGGACTGTCAAGAAACGCATATGTAAAATACGAAAGGTTCCATATGCGTAATGTAAACCAATTTGGCTAGAAAGAAGAGGGAATATTCCATGGAGGTAGGAAAGGAAGGAGGGGCCAGTCGTCACTAGAAGTGCGGGGAGAAAGTTATGCGAAGAGAGATGCGCAGTGCAGGGAGAAAGTTATGCCACATACACATGACGTCATGTGGGTGACAACGTTACTTCTTGGCGTTTGTGTTTACTTTCGTTGCATCAACAGTTTGATTTGATTTGTGTTGTTAACTTGCTATTATACCTAGGCGGAAGTGGCAAATTGTGCTATAGCGTTGTGTCAGAATTATACACGTTAATACGTTTTTGGTGGAAAACACTCTTACAACCAGATAAAATAACTATTTTTTTAAGGAATTCATGTAGTTTTCATACATAACTGTGATGTAATTTTA